TTCAGTCATTTCTGACTCTTTGTGGCCCCATTTGGGGTTTTCTTGGCAGAGATAACTGGAGTGGTTTGCCATTTCCTTCTCCAGCTCATCTGACAGATGAGGAAACTGAGGCAAATAAGGTTAAATGACTTGTCCAGGGTCACACAGCTAGTAAGTGTCTGAGGCTGGATTTGAACTCATGAAAACCAGTCTTCCTGACTCTTAAGTGTTATAGTCTATCCACAGCAGCACCTAGCTGCCATCCTAACACCCAGATTCAACTGCAGAAAAGAGTTGTCGCATGCTTAGAGCATTTAAGGTATAAGAATAATAGGGTGGCAACTTGTTCCAGTACCATTTCTCTCAGGCACTTGTACAAAAAGGTAAGAAAGATAGAAGTAGCTGATGTTTAACCTAATGCTTTAAGGTTTGCAAAGCCCTGATCTCATGTCTCACGTGGGCCTCACCAGCCATCATTACCAAATCCTCGTTGTGCAGATGAGGAAACTGAGTCTTGGAGACATACCCTGCCAGGTGTCAGAGGTAGCACAGTTGGACCCATGTCTTTCTGACTACAAGTTCTCATTCTCGTCTGGTTGTCCTGGACCCTGCTGATTTAGCTGTCACCTGACCTGATCGTTCTAGAGTGCCCCTCCTTTTCATAGCCAGACTCCTTTATAAAAGAAGGTATTTTCATTCACTGCTCCCAGTCTTCATCCTCTCACACTTCCCTTCCCCCTACCAGACTCTGAAAATCCTCATTCTTTATTTTCACAGTTATTTTATGTCTTACATTCATAGGGTGTTGACTGCACGGCTCAGGCTCCTTGCCTATGGTCCTCACGAAGGGTGCTTTTCTGGGCAGTGCAGGCTGACCCTTCACTTGAACCTAACCTAACTGTAGATGGCATCTCTGTGCTCTTTGACTGTTTAATGTGCTCAAGATGCCCTTTATATGTCTAGCCTTAATCTCTTGTTCCTCAAATTGTCTTACCTCACTATCTTGCTAGACATCCCTTTTCAATGTCCCATGTTCGTCATTTCCAAAATAGAACTCATTACCTCCCCACATAAGCCTACCACTTTCCCCAATGCTGTTTCTTAAATCCTTCTCTTCACCCAAGTTTACAGTCTTGGATTCGTTCTTGACTTCCCTTTCCTTCAGCCCTAAACCAAATAATTCCTAAGTCTTGTCTCTTCTGTTTTCACATCACATCGTTCACCTTCTAACCCCTCACATGGTCTCCTCTCTAGTTCGTACTCTTAATACTCTACTTTGCTCCTGTCTTGAAGGCTCCCAGGTTGGCAGCCCAGACTTCCATGGGGTGGGCACCCGTCTCTTCCTCCTCTGCTTTCTCTTTACTTCTCTTTCATGAAGAACGACCAGCTGAGGAGCCTGTATCCCTTGCCTTTCCTTCATCCCTCTTGGTTCCCTTCATGCCACGTGGTCGCGTTGGGGAGTCGCCAACTCTCCTAACCCTACGGGACTTCTCTGTCTCCTACCAACAGACTGGCCCGTAATTGAGTAAGTCCGCCCTTACCCTGCTTTTTTTGTGGATGTTGTCTTCCCCCCAGTAGAAGGTAAGTTCTTTCAAGGCAGGCACTGTCTAGCGTGCTTTTATTTGCAGAAATAAAAGTACTGAGTTAGGGTTAGTACAGTGCCTGGCACACAGTAAGCACTTAATAAATGTGCGCTCTGTCCATCTGTCCACTGCAAGCCTTTTGGTTTGGTGGAAGACTTTCAGGCCTTGCCATGCCTTGCCACCACTCCCAGCAAACCTGTGGGCACTGTTGTCTACCCTGCTGGTGCACCCTAAGGACCCTGGGCTTTGCCAGCTGAACTCTTAGATGAGTGTGAGCTCCTTGAGAGCAGAGACTGACTCCCCCAGCTCTTAGCCCGGCACTTGACCTATAGTAGGCCCTTAGCAAAGACTTTTTCTTGGATTCATCCCTCTTACCTGGACTCTCACAGTGGTTTCCTAATTAGTTTGCCTCCCTTATATTCATCAGTGTATAGATTGTATCCCTCCCTATCTTTCCCCCTCCCCTTCCCCCCGGCCATGTAAGTTTCTTGGTGGCATGGCTGGTTTGGTTGTGTGTCTTTGGCACTTCCTAACACAGGGCCTTGGCACACAGTAGGTCTACTCACATCACTGCAAATCTAGTGCTCTTTTCACCATGCCAGGCTGTCCCTTGTGCCTTGGGGATATAATTATTGACGCCAGACAGTGACTCTTCTAGTGTCTCATTGCGAGACTGAATGCTCCCACCCAGGATGGCCAAATTAGAATTGGGATCTCTTATGCCATTGGTATCCTTGTTTGCAGGTGCTTCCGTAGAGACAGGATGGCGTGGTGGCGATAGTGGCACCTATGTCTTACAAAAAGAATCATTTTTTAAAATTATGATTCAAAAAAACCAGTTTTGGTCAGTTTCATATTATGTAGAAGATAAGTTTTACTATAGGAGCATTAGAGTGGGAAGGATGTGAGCCTGGGACCCAAGAAGCCCCCAGAGGTTTGAACATTGAACATAATCATCACAGGGCCTCAGTTTCCCATCACTCCATGATCTCTAAGACCTCTTCTGTCTCACGCCGGTATGTGGTCCTGAGGGCCCTTTAGCTTCGACATTCTGTCATCATCTTAGATTCACTTGGTGATTTTGTGTCTTAAACATTTTATTTAGTTCTTGAGTATAAGAATTAAGCATTCGTTCAATTCAGTAGTCATGTATTAATTAATCACTGCCTGTGTGCCGAACTTGGTGGGTGTTGGAGAGACAGACTGAAGCGGTTCCTCCCCTCCAGGAGCTTACATTCTCCTGGGGTTATTGGTGGGAGGCACATTGTATGCAGGGAGTGGGCTGAGGCTCTCAGTGGCCTTTGGGTCATAATAAAGCCTTCTAAAAAAAGGACCAATTGGATACCTTTAAATGAGATCATCTTGTATCTCAGTGAAGCCCTTGTGGAGTCCACTGCCCTTTCCCTGCAGGAAGCAGGTCCTTTGATTGAATCTTCTTCACGTGACCTCCCTTATTTCCCTTTGCCTTGTCTTTGTGGCTCGTGGCAGATGGTCAGTGTCAGCTGTTAGCAGTGATCCCTGCGGTGTGGTCTGGGGTGTGCACATCTCTATGGGGGCTTGGCTCTTGGCTCTTTATCTCCCCTCAGAAAGGATGAGACACTGGTCTATGATGCCTGCCTTGCTGTGTCTCCTCCCTTCCTGCTCACCTGCCGGCAGGAATAAAGAGCTAAATCAATACTGACCTCACATGGGGGGATGCCTGTGAGGGTCTGGAGTGGGGGAGGGAAGGGTTTCCATGTGACTGCTCTCGCGCTCTCTCTCTCTCTCTCTCTGTGTACCTCTGGATGTGCCTCAGCAGGCCTGAAAATACTCATCTTTTCAAACTAGGAATGAGGCAAAGATTCCCCAGAGTGAGAGTTTGTGGGAGCTTTTCCTGTTTAAAGATTTTAATTTCTTCTTAGTACAGTATTGGTGGGGGTGGGGGTAAGGGTTGGAAAAAGCCCCTGGAGGGGTTTGTGCAAGATGACTAGATTGAGGGATGGAGAAAGCAGCCGCAGCAATGATGCAGATGGTGAGGGACTGTTTAAAGTCATGCCGGCATCCTCCTCTTCCAGCTGATGAACGTTAATGGGAACGATGTTGGCCATCTCAGAGCGATCAGAGGAAGGCTAGGCAGAAAGCTGTGTTCATGTGATGTTCTTAGTGTTCTTGTGGACATTGGACATAGATGCTCAAAATTTCTGGTTATTTCTCAGTTAAGAGTAAGATTCAAGGACAGAAAGTAACGGAAATGCATTAGCCATGTAATGGTCTCTTAACCCTGTCATCGCTTCGAGTCACTTACTCCAGCTTGGAGTGGTATGGTTGGGTCAGTCTTCTGATTTGAGTTCATAACATGTCCAGTAACATAAGAAGAGTCAACCGAGGACAGACATTATTAAATGGAACCGTTATCCAGTTTTGCGGGGAAACCTGCAACCTTTTTTTATCAGCATCATTTAAATTCCATCCTGCTGCTGTCCTTCCTAACCCCAAATGATATTAGGTGCCTGCTAGTCACTGTGGCCTTGGTGCTGGGGCAAAAGCAGGGTCCGGCTTTTCACTTCTTTGGTCGGGCGCTCTGCAGGAGTCACAAAAGCCATCTGAAGTGGGTCACCTCGAAAGGCAGGATCTGATCATCTTCCTCAGCACATGATGGACAGCAAGCCTTTAACTGGGCCTTTGTGATACTGCATCTGGCATTGTGTTTGAGGTGGGGTTCATTTAGAACCTGTTTCTGAGTCTGGGGACAGGTTAGTGAGCAGGCTTTCAGAAACAAGGGGAGCAGAGGTACCAGGCAGAAAAGTTGCTGCAGGCGACATGATTATTTTTTTTTTTCGGTTTAATGCCAGCTAATGGTTTGCTGTGTTTTTTATCAATGAAAACCCATATTGTTCCATTCCCTTTTCCTCTTGATAATAGCTTCGTGTGAGCATTCCAGATAGAATGGAGCAGACAACTCCTGGAATCTGGGTCTAAAATTTCTGTGTTTTCTAAAATTAGCAGCTGCAAACAAACCTCTTTTAAAGGAGCATGAGCACAGGAGCCAGTTGCGAGCCGATCCCGAGCGCCTTCCCCGGCTTTCCCAGGGTTAAGTGCCCGCAGCCGAGGCAGCCCCTCCTTCTCCTTCCCCAGCATTTCTCATTAGACAAGAGTTCCATAGCAACAGTGAGATCACCCAAGCCCGAGCATTTCATTGAGTATCTTTTTTCTCCTTCCCTTTTTTTAATCTCATCTCTTTCCATTTAGCCACATTTTAGAGAGCCAACTATTTTATAAGACCTGGTTTGTGTAGATCTCCAGTTCCTAAGTAGCAGAGGGTAGAAAATTTGCCCTGCTCTTGAGCAGTGAATGTGTCGCCATGTATTTAAAAGGCGATTCTGGATTCGGAGGGTGGATGACCATTCCGGCTGTAGCTGACGTTCTCAGGTATTCTTGCATTGTTTGCTGGTCTTCTAGGGAAAAGAGCAGCGTGGAGCAGGATCTCAAGGAGAAGGAAGAGCACGTCAGACAGAGGACCAGCGAGGTCCAGGTAAGTGAGCCGGGAATGACGGTGGCGGGCATGTGGGGATGAAAGCAGCTGACTGAGGGATCCTAGAAAACATAGCATGCCGGCCTCTCTTTTGTTAAATGGTTATTTGGTGGCATTACTGTCGGAAAGTGCGTATGAGGCATTGTTCCTTCTGCCCCCGGGGTGATCACTACAATCATGCATACAGGGTGGGCAGGTAGGTCATTGGAGGGAGGCTTTGTGCTGTGTGTGCTGCAGACGTTAATGGAGCTGACTGATGGAGGCTCAGAGCACTCGCTTCCTCCTTCTCAAAGAGAAATGGATGGGTGTGAGATCAGGTCGTCCCCCACGCAGCCCCCGAGACGGTATGTCCAGAGGCTGCTGCTTTTCTCACCATCTCCGTCATAGAAGGAAAGGGTCTAGAATAATGACACAGAACCTTTTGAAATCAGCTGAGTCAGCCAGGATGTCCCCAACTAGTATTTCTCTTACGCCTGAGAAAGGGGAGGCTTTTCAGTCATGTAGCATGTGAGGAGTTCCATCTCATGCAGACATATGTGTGCATGTATGTGTGTGTGGCGGGGTTCACGCACATTTGCTCCTTGTGGCCACATAAGGACGTTTCAGGCTTGTAAGACTATGGGGAGATAGGTTAGCGAGGTGTTTACCGCATTGGAGAATGTTATAGGCACTAGTCTTATTTGGGGATCCCCCCACAAAAGGGTATGATGGGCTCATGCTAAGAGTCTCTGGTGGTTTGGCCCTTCGTGCTCTGCTTTCCTTTTAGATCCTGCACGTTTGGGGCCCTTTTGGTAGTGAGGCTTCCCTGTGGGATTCGTACTTTGGAGGAGGGAGAGTGCTACCTGTTTCAAGTTATTGTGTGGGTGTTTATATAGGACATTCCCCAGAGACTGTGGCCTGAGTGTGCTGCTGGTGAGGCTGGGGGACAGGGACATCGGTTTTGCTGGAGACAGCTTTGACAGCTCTGACTGGCACCCAGAGATGATGCAGAAATCAAGATTATCATCAGCACTGTTCTTCTGTTGGGGAAGACCCTGATTGTTGTTTTGTGGGGAGGTTTTGAGCCTTTAAGAGATGGAGAAAAGTCCCCAGTATGATGGGGGAGCAGTTATTTTCCAACATGCAGAAAAGATCTTAGGAAGGGAAGGAGTTTAAGGAAACCCTTTTCTGGAATGGAAGGAATCAGTCTTTGCTAATCTCACACCATCCATTTCCAAACTGAGACAAATGCTGCAGCAGAATGCATCCTGAGGTGATTAGAGCCTGTCTTCCCTGCTCCCCAGCTGGCTTGGAATGTGAATGTCTGCTAAAGACTCAGTCCTCCAGGGTCGCAATAGGATGGCGTAGAAGGGCTCTGTGGGGGGCTTGTTTTTGTCATAAAGGTGATGAGTGTTTATTTGTGGTTGTTTACACCTTGGCTAGAAATCCCTCCGTTCTTCCCTGCTGGACCCGAAAGTCCTCTGTGTATCTGGGGCTTCAGCTTCTTGTTCCTGTGTGATCGACTGAGGAAGTTGAGATTCCACATTGGGAGCGAGCTGAGTAAATGGTTTGTGCCTGGCTCCTCAGGAAGGGATTTTTTGCCTGTAGAGAAGCCAGGCGACAACGGTGAAGGAAGGAAGTTTCTAGCAGAAGAGCTTGAGAGATGAAGGGGCTTAGGTCAGTGTGTTTTGTCACACAAAGCACAACATTGACATGGGTTCATTCAGTTCTCCATGGGGAGCAGACATTAGGAGAGCATGGAGAAGTGGCCATCACCTGTCACCTGCGAGCCTCGTTTGCACTCTGGGCTTCCCTTTCTGAACAGAACAGAATAGAATTCCCGACTCCTCCCCCTCTGCTCCCTCGAGGGCGTGGGTGGCCAAGCTGGCCAGTGGCCTCTCGCAGGCCTCCATCGTCTGGACAGGCTGGCCTCCCCAGCTTCCCAGGTCCCCGGGGGTGCTTTGACTTCCCTGCTGCAGCGACCTCAGAAGGCCGGAGATGGGCAGTTGTGCCATCTGACAGTAGACCAGAGTGTGGCCTCTGCTGGGTTTTTGCTTATTGTCACCGGGCCTAAAGGTGAGCCTGTCCCCCTTGAAGGTGCTGGCTGGGAGACAGGAGCACCTGCACCCACCTCTCCCCCCAGGGCTTTCCCCGAGTTGATGCTCATGTTAATTTGAGCACACAATGCCGTGTTTATCATTCTTGGAACACCTGCAGCTGGGGTCCCACGTCTGGCCCCCAGGGTAGCAGCTCCTGAGAGAAGCCAAGTGAGGCCCCTCTGCAGAGGGAGGAAGCGCTTACCTTCAGTCTCCTCTCCCCATCCGCCTTCTTTGCTTTGTCCGTGGGGCCAGCAGAAGCCTCTCAGAATGGCCTGCTACCGACATCAATGCCAGTTATAAAAATTAAAAACCGATGAAGTGACTAAGGTCAAGTGGGAGGGGGGCAGAGAAGAGAAAGCCAAAGACTGTGTGTTTCAGGAAGTGTGGGAGAGGGGTGGTCCTTTTCCTTCAGGGGGTCAGGCAGGGCCTCTTGCTTCCTTCTGTCTCAGAGGAATCAGTCAGCACATCAGCGGGTCCTTTTTGAGTCTGGAGGCCACATCTGTCGTGTGGGCCCTGGACTCTTCTCTCTCCTCCCCCTCATCCCTTCCTCCTCTCCTTCGCTTCCTCCCTCTCCTCCCATCCTCTCCCTCCTCCCCTCTTCCTCTCTTCTCTCTTCTTCCCTTTCCTCCCCTCCTCCCTGCTTCTCCCTCCTGCCCTCTTCCCCTCCTCTTCCTTCTCTCTTCTTCTCTTTCCTCCCCTCCTCTCCCGCCTCCCCTTTTCCCCCTCTTCTCCCTTCTCCCTTTACTCCCCTCCTCTCCCTCCTCCCCCTGTTCTCCTCTTCTTCCATTATCCCTTCCTGTCCCTCCTCTCCTCTTCCCCACTTCTCCCTTCTTCCCTTTCCCCCACTCCTCTCCCTCTTCTCCCTCCTCCTCTTTTCCCCTCCTCCCCCCCATCCTGGGCCCTACTTCCCCCCACCTCAGGGCTGTCTCCTTCCACAGGCACCTTGGCTCCCCATCTTCTGGTCATCCCTCTTCATTTGCCTGAGAAGCCTCCATTTAGCAAGCACTCCTGAAGGGCCCACTCTGCCCAGGGCAGTGTGTTTCCTGGGCACATAGAGGGATGTGTGAGAGCAGTAGGGAACTGACCCCCAAACCAAGATAAAAGGCTGGTTGGTTGATTTGAAACAAATAATGGTAATATAAAACAGAATGAAGAAGGGGCATGGGAGAGGTTCAGACAGAAGCCCGTTGAGAGCGAAGGGGAACATGCTGGTGGTTCCTCTGTGTCTGGAAATATCCTTAGAATGGCTGGAGAAAAAGGGGCTCTGCTGTCCCCCCAATAGCCACCTTCATAGTCATCTCTACTTCCCATTCCTCCCTTTCCTTTGGCTCTCCTTGAGCTTTTGTGTCCTGCCTTCCTCCCTCACTCCCCTCTTGAAACACACCTCCCATCCAAAGTCATCAGTGTTTTAATAATAATAGCTCACATGTAGGTGGTACCCGCTGGGTGCCAGCCACTGTGCCAAGTGCTTTACGATCTTTATCTCAAATGATACTCACAGCAGCCCTGGGAGATATTATTATCTCCATTTTACATTTGAGAAAACTGAGGTAAAGTGAGAGTAAGTGACCTGCCCAGGATCACACAGCTAGTAACAGTGCAAAGCCTGACTTGAATTTGGGTCTTCCTGACTCCAAGCAGAGCGCTCGCTCCACTGTAGCACCACCTAGTGGCCGAGCCTGGCGAATGGGGCTCGGCTCTGATGACTGTCTCAGCCTTGATGCTGGCTGCGTCCTCCCTTGGCCGCTGTGTCTGACCCTAGCCTGGTTTTTCTTCTCCCGCTGGTAGCTCCTCTCACAGACGCTCTCTCCTCAACCCTGTTGTCTTCTTTCTCTTCGTTGTCCCGTTAGAGATCTCATCCTTTCTCATGACTTCAGTGGCCATCTATGGGGCCAATAAACACTGGACTAAGAAGGGGACTGGCCCCAGGTCTGTTAGGCTTTTATGTGTGACCTTAGGCAAGTCACATGACATGTTAAATCAGCAAGCATTATTCAGCATTTACTATGTGCTAGGCACTGTGCTAAGCACTGCAGATACAAATACAAGCAAAAAGAAAGTCTGTTCCTGCCCTCAGAGAGTTTACATTCTAATGAGGAAGAAAACATACAGAGGAAGGTGGAAACCAGGGGATAGGGCTCAGGGGACTCTGTGGGATGATGGAAAAGGAAATCCAGAGTCAGGAGGGCAGCTCACCTGAGCTCTTTCTTAAAACGGAACCTGCCGATCGGAGGAAGGTAAGAAGGCTGTTGAGACGAGGTAGAGAAGGCGGTTGAGAGGCGGCAGTGCATCTCAGTGAGGAATGAAGGTCTCAGCTTCGTCATCTGTTAAATGAGTGGGTTTAACTTGGGTCCCCCCAGTTCTGATGTTTCCTGAGGCTGTGTCTCAAAAGCCTAAAGAGGCTCAGGTTTCCAAATGCCTGCTGAGCATGAACACTCACCTGTCTTACTCTTCCCTCAAATCTGATCTCCCTAAAACTGACCTCATTGTCTTCTTCCCTAAACATTCTCCCTCCCAGCTTTCCTTGTTTTGCTAGAACTCTCCAACTAGAAGCTGGAAGCACCTGGATTCAAGGCCCAGCTTAGGGTCATGTGAGGCACCATGTGTAAAGCGCTTTACACACGTTGAACCGGGAACCAGGAACCACGAGCTCTGCTCGCCCACCAGGGCTGGCCCCGTGCCATCTCACTCACAGATGCAGGAGCCGTCTGGCTCCCCCAGCAGCCTGTGCAGCTGCTGTCAGAATAGCTTTCTTAGCAAACTTGGGATCTGAGAAGTTCACAGTTTTGAGGGTGGTATTCATGGGGCCATGTATGAACTGCTGGTCTCCATCATCATTTATAATCCATGCAGGCTTGTCCCGCCAAGCCCCCTCTGCTGGCTTACAGCCCGCCAGGCAGGGGGCCCTTGCAGAGACACAGC